ACAGTGTGTGAAAGCACAGCACTAAGAAGCTAAAGCCATTTTAGCATGAGTTCAGTCCCACCCCAGAGCTGATACACAAGGTGCTGAAGACTTCTCCTGACCCGCCCACTGCACCCCTCAGCCGTGTACTTTCAGTTGACCTGTTCAGCTCCCTACTCTGTCTCTGGTGAATCCTCTCACCACCCCTGTATCTTTGGCCTGTACCCCAATTCTGTGTGCATAACTAACGTCTTTTAAAAAGAAAATGACCCTGTTAAAATAATCTTCCGGCCCTCCCTGGTGGCGCAGCGGGTTAAAACACAGCACTGAGAATCTAAAGCCGCTTCCGCACGAGTTTGATTCCCGCCTGCCCCATTCCCGCCTGCCCCGGAGGTGACCACATGGCGCGGCAGACCTCTCCTGACCCACCCGCTGCTCCCCTCAGCAGTGTACTTCGTCGATCTGCCTGTTCTGTTCCCCACTCTGTCTCTGGTGAAGCCTCTCACCGCTCCTGAGCCTCTGGCCTGCACCCCAGTTCTGTATGCACAAATAAATAAATCTTAAAAAAAAAAATAAATAAATAAATAATAATTTTCCTCTGACTTTGTGTATGTGATACTGTTATGGGTTGGAATGTGGAATCTTAAAAAATATGGTGAAATTCTAAATCTCAGTACCTCAAACCAGATCTTTATAAAGAAGTCAAGATAAGAAGTGCCTGTGGTAGACCCTAGCCCAACATAACTGGTCACCTTACAAAAAAGTGAAACTTGGAAAAGATACACATTTCAGACGAGATAGAGGCACAGACATAGAAACAGAAGCCATCATGAAGGCAGAGATTGGGGGGTGAGATAAGTAAATCACGAAAAATTGGGAAAACATGACACATATTCTCCTTCATAGAGGCTGAGGAAATCCATCCTGCTGAGAAATTGACTTGGCTTCCCTCCTCTTTAACTGTGTTTTTGGTAAGTTGTTCTACCAACCCCAGGAAACTGCTACTCATACTAGTGATTGAGCTTTTCTTTTACATTTAACCAAATTCTCATCTGGTTCTTTAAAGATTAATCACTAACCTAGCTTTTATGTCTTCCCAGTTAGGTCCCAGAGTTCATGCCTAAATTAAAAAAAAAAAAAAAAGTAATCTTATATAAAACTGCAGAAAGATTTGACCTCCTCAACAAATTGTGTGGCTGATTATTTCCCCAAACAACACCTTATGTCCAGTACACCTTTTAGTGACATACTCACTATCTGATGCTATACATGTATATTTGGGCTTTACGATCTCTCACTGGACTGGAGCTCATTCTTCATTGAATTTTCAGTACCCAGCATGGCTTGGCAGAAATATGTGCTGTGATTAATGTGTAGTAGTAGCTAATGGCTGTGGCCACTTTTTCCACTTACGCTCTCTGCCTGCCAGGATACCTCTGTTCCCAGCAGCTGTTCCACTCTAATGTTGACTACATGCCAAATATAAGCAAACATTCTGCCATGTGAACTTTCTCCCCATTCCTGAGGCCAGTTCTTTATCCAAACACCAAACACCACAGATGGAGGAAGCAGGCACCTATTATTTTGCAAAGTTAAAGAGCTTCCCTTTTCTAGGAGTTTTATTATGTTTTCATCTAATTATATGTTTACCACTCTATTATAGTCTTTTCTGACTTGTTCAACTCCATATGTAATTGATAGGCTTAATAGTTAAGTAGAAGCATTCAATAAGTGGTATCTGAGCTACAACATTTGCAAAATAAAGCAATAAATATGAATCCATGTGGAGGAAAATCCTGAAGAAATATTAAAGCACTACTTTTCTCAGAATGATGATATAACTGTTGTCTTTATTCTTTTTAATTTTTTTACTGCACTTGTTATACTTATACAGACCAGTATAAGGCATTGTAGTTTGACATGATCTTTACTACACATCTAGCTGCCATTTACTATAATTGGCCCTCTTAACCCACCTTCCTTATTTTATTGTGGGTGTGTTTACAGTGGGCATTGCATAGATTCGCCTCATGTGAAGTTCACTAGCAAATTCTTCAACTGTTGCACATCTAATGAATTTGACATTACAATGACCCATTTCAAGCTGAAATAATTGCATGTGGATTACAAGGAAATATATTCCCAAATATTTGATTTTAAAAACAAGTATATTCTGCAGAATCATTTTGACCTGTAAAGTTTTTTCATTAAAAACCATTCTGGAATGGAATCAACTTCCTTCAGGCTAACTTCCACCAGAGCAAATTGCTTATTGCACATGACTTCTGCAGCCTGGAAGACTCATTCTACCTGCTCACCAGGGGCCATTTAGGTGAGCAGTGATTAGGTGAACATCATATTGATTATCCAGGAAAAGTTCAACTATGCTGTGAAGTTTCTTCTAAAAATATGAAATATTCCACTGTATTCATGTATTACTTCAGCACAAAGTCACAAATAACACAACATTCTGATTACACTTAGAAAATAAATTACTGCTTCTTTTATGTGGAAGAAATAAAGTTAATTCAAAAGTAATTATTCACTAACATATCAAGAATTATAATGCCTGAAAACTAAATTAAGCATTCCTTGCCAGACTAAGAATTAAAGGGTTTGCTTTTCAGCTCTAAGAAAATGTTGCTTGCCACTTTTCAATTGAAAATTATCAAACAAAATAAACAGAAGGGCAAAGTAGAAATAGTGGCCTTGGCTTCATGAGTTAAAAAAAATCACTTAGCTAATATGGATAATTATAAAAAGTTCTTGATTTTCTTTGAAAGGGAACTAAACTATTTTTGTTTAGAACTAACATTATTTTTTAACCCTTTAAAAATGAATTAATTTGCACGTTTATATAAGTGATTTTGACAATGTATATTCTCTGGAGTTCTATATCCTTTAGTTTTTCCATATTGCCTGGATGAGCAAATTATGCACACTTCCAGGAAATTTCTAATGACTTCACACCCTATGCTTTTGGAGAATGTTATGAGTCCTTGAAGAAGAAGAAGAAGAAAAAAAATCACAAGAGGATATCAGAATGTGATCTAGCTTCTAAGTTTACTAAAATTTATTTATCTCTACCCAAAAGACAACAGCATCGACATAATGGATTGTTTTTAAACTCAGAAATTTGTTGGTAATAGGTATCATCACAAACTTCCCTTATCTTAAAATAGTGTATCTCTTCTTATACGAGTTCAAATATGCTTTGATAACAACTTAACTTCTTAACTATCTGTTGTGTATAACTATAACTGATATGAAACATAGCAAACAGAAAATACATCTGCATATCTGAACATTTATCAAATCACATTCATTTTCACTGAACTTATTTGGGAAAAAGCAGACATTCTATGTGGATGAGAAAACAAAAAAGTAAAATGAAATCTCTATTATTCATACAGAATAATTGAGGAAAAAAAGAAACTGTCTTTGAAGCTCAAATTACAGTTGAACAGCTCAAGCTCCATTTTCCCTCAGCTGAGAAAAACTCACTTTCCCAAAATATACGTGGTCTGTTCAGGAAATATATTCAGTCTTTAACCCAGCCTTTGAGAAATTTATTTTAAACTTCAGCCAAATTCACTGTTTTAATTATGCAAGACTCACTAATTTAATAAACTCACTCTACAGCCCACTGCTCAAAGTCTTTACAGCATGATTCTAATAGAGCCAGGTCCAAAATGCAAATGCTGCCATCTGCATCACCACATCCACTCAAGCAGCACTGCCATTAAATTAATAGTACTGTCTGCAAGATAAAACAGCAGAAACCCCAAACGTGTGAAACCAGTTGAGTTTCTGTTTAACCTCCAGCAGATAGATTCACATAATCAGTTAAATCATAGCTAACTTAGTCAATCTGTACCCAAGAGCTGTGTCCAATTTCTCCGACCAAAGGAATTAGGAACCAAAAAAGGAAGGCAAACAGTTAGAAGACATTAGTACTCTGAGTACAAATAAAAATCAATTTGCGTTAGTTGAGTGTCAGTGTTCCTCATTGTGTTAATTTGACTGACCAATCTGGAACAAACTCAAATATCAGGATTGAGGACAAAATCTGCAGAATGAGTTTAACATGACACACAAAAAAGAAAATATATAGCAGAAATATATTTACATATATTTGCATTGTAATATAGATTCATTTATTTAATAGAACTTCTATTATTTGAAACTTTACAATTTTCAACAGTGAGAAAGTAATTTTATTGCTATAGTAAATTCACTGCAGAAAATTTTGTTATTAGCTTGTTTTTAATATAACATCTAATTTTAACCCAGGAAGATACTTTAATTTTCAGTCTCTATTAAATAAATGCTATGCTTACTATATCTATACATATCTTTTATTTTTCCTGGTCCTGAATTACCCAAAACTATGTGAGATTGATAGTTAGACATGCCCTTTGAAAGTCTTTGTGTTCTATAAGTTTCTTTAAAATCCTATGAATACATGGCCCACCCCCCAAAAAATTGATGCTTGTAAGATGAACAAGACAATGCTGACCATTATTAATATGCCTCTACTGCAAAATTGTAGTTACTGGATTCAGTTCAGTTGAAATGGATATTAATCTTCATGTTGTCACTCTCAATATACCCCTGGAGGCTGTGCAAAATTGTACGGCCAGGGCAATTTGCAGTGAGGCAATGTCATGACTGAACTCTGCATTCCTATGCCTAAGGACTATAAGACAAAAAAACTCCAGGCTAACAAAAATTAAACTATATCTTATTTTAGTAACATACGCATATTGCAAGTAAGTAAAAAATCTCAGTAAGCTGTAAAGATCATCTCAAACTTGTGAAGTTATATTGACTGTAGTCATTAAATATCTGTTATTTATGCATGAAATTAACTAAACTGCAAAGAAACTTAATAACTATAAATGTTAAAAGAATGATAAATCAATGATTTGTCCACAAATATGAACGTTTTTGAATACAGGTATTCAAAAATACCTGTACTAAACAAAAATTTATATAAACTCAAAAAATTTAATATTTACCTTTGGTTTGTGTTTTCCTTTCAAGTTTCTCCTGTTTTTCAGCTTTTTCTTTATGCATATCTAGTGAAAAATAGAATGTGACATTGAGAAATTCTCCTTTGAAAATGTAGAAAGCTTAACACATATCTATGACTTAAACCTTACCATTCCACCATGAAATCTAAATAATCATATTTAATAAATAGAAATTTAAGAGAAAATCTTTTTAATATTTTGTTATACCCATCACTTACTTATTAAAGTAGGAGAAAATTGTAGTTACTCAAAGTTATTTGAAAAAAAATAAAAATTTACATCAATGGAGATCTGTCACCATTTTCAGTGCCTAAATTGATCACCTACTAAAATTATGCTTTATTTCAGTTACTTGAAATACAAATTAAGAATCCTAAGTAAGGCTGTTATTTAGATTTAGGAAGATTCACTTTTTACATGTTAAATTAAGAATTCATGAAATGAACTCTAGGAAATATCTCAGAGATATTAACTTTAACTTATGTTTATAATCAGAATTTGGCATTGCATTTAGTCAATAATTATGTAGACATAACACATTTCATAGAATAAGTCAGTTGCTTCATTTTTTCCCTATCATATTTTAACAAATATATTTCTGTTGATGCTGGCGTCAGTACACATATATTGCTATGGCTTAGAAAATGAAGTTAATTCTGAATTTGCAGTTAATTTGGAAAGAAGTAAATTTGAGATTAGAACTTACCAATATGATTACTACCTCTGAGAAGTGACTTAATCTTAAGCATCATAGCTTTTCTTAGAAAAATGCTAATGAGGTTTACTTATTTATTTATTGCAACTTTATTCCACAGATGGTCTGAGATGACGCTAATTACTGTATACATTTAACTTCTCCATTTGTAAATTTTAATTTGCATTTTTGTAATTTTTCCAGATGTCTAAAATGAAGCCAAAACATTAAAAAATCCTAGCTATCTTCAGGATAAAAACAAACTAACAAACCAGTTACTGACTTTCATTCGCTTGTTAAGCAAGCAACCACTTCTTTTCTGCCCCCCACCTCTATGCGTCATACTATTACAGGGATATTCCTCCACCTTCATCCCATCCCTGACTTTGACTATAGCAGTGGAGGGGAAGGCAAGGTAAGAGGCTGAATAACATTCTGAAATAAACAAAAAACTACAGATGTAAAAAAAAGAGCTCCAAAGGGCAAAGGAAATATTCCTCTTCTTGCTTCTCTTACCATGTTTTTAAATCCCTTCTCTCTATGGCTCCAAATCTTATAAAGCAGAGTCTCTACTCATTTGGGGGGTATGGCAAATCATCATTTGGAAATGGGGCAAGGCTAGATCACATGCACTCGCGGGACTTTGCAGCTACCCCAGTATCTACCTGTTAGGTGAATATAGTCTCCATACATTTTAATCATAACTATAAAAACTGTCTTCAGATATCATCAAAGGCCACCCATAGGACAAAGTGACCCCAGTTTGGGAACTCATAGTTTAGGACTGCTTTGAAGAGGCAAGATAATCAGCCTAATCACCTTTTGTCACTAAGTATATCTACAGTCTTCAGTGCATTATCCACTGGATGTGTGCAGATTAAGGACATGCTAGATTGTTTGTCTAAACTACGAGATGCTATCAGTGTGAGTACAAAAATATTTTGAAGCACAAAAAGCAAAACACCTCATTAATAGATTTATTTTAATTGCATATTGTCATGATGTTACTTTTTTTATATATTGAATGTGATAGTTTCAATTATGCATCAGCATGTTTAGGCTACTTATCCCACCTCCTTCAAATAAATAGTATCCAAGGATTTGCTGTGAAGATAAATTGCAGATGTAAATAAAATTCCAATCCATCAATGTCACATAGACTAGTATGATTCCATCGGAAGACCCAGAGGTGGTCTGTTTTCCAAGGCAGAGCAAAACAATGTCGTCTGTGGTTAACAGCTTCGGTTTAAGCCCCTTGGCTCAAACCTGCCAGGGATCTTCTCTTTTGACTACCTTTTTTCCAGGTTCTGCTTTGCTAAGTCAGAGCTCACAATCAGAGAGTCCAATTCAGTATAATAAATTTCTTTATCTTAAAAACATAGCTGCATAGGGCCCTCCCTGGTGGCGCAGCGGGTTAAAGAACAGCACTGAGAATCTAAAGACACTTCCGCATGAGTTCGATTCCCGCCTGCCCCGGAGGTGACCACATGGCATGGCAGACCTCTCCTGACCCGCCCGCTGCTCCCCTCAGCAGTGTACTTCCTCGATCTGCCTGTTCTTCTCCCCACTCTGTCTCTGGTGAAGCCTCTCGCTGCCCCTGAGCCTCTGGCCTGTACCCCAGTTCTGTATGCACAAATAAATAAATCTTTAAAAAAAAAAAAAACATAGCTGCATAATATCATAGTGCTTTTCTGGGCAAGCCCTATTTGAAATTTTGAATTAAATAAGCTATTATATTAAAATACTTTCATATTCTTCTTTTTAGTTTTTCAAAGGTGAGTATACTCACAAATACTAAGTTATATATGTGATTCACATTACATTACTATTGAACAATGCTGATCTATTTCTATTTATTTTAAAGATTTATTTATTTATGCATACAGAACTGGGGTACAGGCCAGAGGTGCAGAGGTGGTGAGAAGCTTCACCAGAGACAGAGTGGGGAGCAGAAGAGTCAAAACGACAAAGTACACTGCTAAGGGGAGCAATGGGTGAAACAGGAGAGGTCTGATGCCCCATGTGGGTCAAACTTCCTGTTAATTGGTTGTGGCTAGCTTCAGAGTGATGTAGTGTAACCCACTGGGCCACTGGGCGTGGCCCTGATGTATTTCAAATGGTGAGCAAATGGGTTTTTACAATCTTAGGTCATTGACAGGGTTAAATATTCTACAAATGAATTTTTTTTAAAAAAAGGGAATTTGAAATAGTTTTTTGTCACTACTATCAAATTTGTTTTTCATGTTTAAACCAATAGATTTTGGGGAGAAGATTTGTAATGCAGGTCAATAAAGCAAGCACATAACCTAAGACTCAGAGTGATCTTTGGATATGTTTTAAGGAAGTCACTTTTAAGAAATACGTTCTTTTCCTTAGCATAAATTTATGTCAGTATAAAACGTAGACAAACTTTTCCATTTAAAAAATTGCACAAAATAATACACTGAGAACAAGAAAAGGCCTTAAATTTTTTATTTAGAATATATATTTTCATTTTGAACAAGTGAGTGTATCTTAGAGTGTATATGTGTTCCTCTGATATCTACAGGCTGGACACAGAAAAGAGAACGATTCTGGAACTCATATTGGAGGATGGAAGTGAGATAGATTCTTCTGCCATGTTAGGTACTGAAGGCCTTCCTGCCAGAGTCATCCTATCAGAGTCTCCTACCTAAACTAATTTGGGGCTGGGTCCTCTCTGGTGGCACAATGGGTTAAAGTGCAGCAATATGAAGCTGCAGCATGAGTTCAATCCCCCACCAGGAAGGTAACCCACATGGTGTGGCAGACCTCTCCTGACCCACCCAACACTCCCCTCAGCAGTGTATTTCAGTAGGTCTTCCTGTTCTGCTCCCCACTCTCTCTGGTGAATCCTCTTACCCCTACTCATCTCTGGTTTCTACCCCAGTTCTTGTTTGCATAAATAAATAATTCTTAAAAATATAATTTGGAAAAAGACACTGTTGAACAGGGTGCTGGTTTCTGGGATAGAAGAGTCCTTATCAGTTCTTGGTCAGCTTTCCTGCAAGGTAGGGGAAAAATTGCCCCTCAGAGAAAGAAGCAGTAACAGTAGAAACCTCGGCATCCTTAGCTCTAGCTCTTGAGTAGAAAGCAGCATCCTACAAAAGTGAATGCCCTCCAGTATGTAACCAGAATTGAAATGAGTAGGAATCCATCCTAAAGGAAGAAACATTAAATGGAGAGAAATCTCAAAAAGATTGGGGTCAAGAAAAGATGGGAAATTGGTTTCCGCCTACATCTCCCAAATATGGACAGGAAGTAAAACTCCAGTGAGAGGTAAATCCTGGCATGCTGAATACCTAGTAGTCCTGTTTCCTTAGTAACAACAAAACTAATTATATTGAAAAAGGCAATATACTTCAGCATATTTTTATTTCATAATAAACAGTGTAGACACAACACAATGATCAAAGCTTCAAATTTTCGTTTTCCTGATTCTGTGCTGCAGCCTTATACAAACAAAGATCCTTACAGATTTCTTGTAGGTGGGAGTCACAAGTTAAAATATACCCACCCATACTCTAAAATAACTTGGAGTCTGTTAATATTTCTTAGAGACAATTATACAACTATATTTATAAGCTAATCTTGTAAAAGTATACACGAACCTACATTTCTTTGCATACAGAAAATATTTCTGATGATTCAAAACAAGTACACATTAAATGTCTTGGACCTCCCTGGTGGCACAGGGTCAAAGCCTCAGTGCTATCAAGTTATTGCCAACCACTGTGTCATGAGTTCTATCCCAAGCCTTGGAGCTGACCCACAGGGCACATGCAACATCTCCTATTTTTCCTGCTGCTCCCTGCAGCAGTGTATTTCAGTAAATCTCCTTATTCTGCTCCCCACTCTGTCTGTGGTTAATCCTCTCATCCCCCTGCACCTCTGGCTTACATCCCAAACTTGTATGATTAGATAAATAAAAATAAATCTTTGAAAAAAAAAATGTCTCTCTGCAGGCTTTATTGCAACATTGCTTTTTTGGTGGTGATTGAATTCCATCATTAGTATCTCTGCTGTAACAATCAGATTATCTGAAAAACTCAATGAATTCTCTTTACACTTTAGCCAGGAAAGGACAGCCATTCACACACCTGTTCAAATAAGCAACACCAATCTACTAATTTAGTCTTCAGAAGCATATTTGTCACATGAGCTGATGATATCTGATAGTTGATGTGTTATACTCAGTTGCTATTTTCACTTATATTTAAAAGATCCAAGTCATTAAAGGTAGAAATGTTATCACCGTATAATTTTCAACATACTTCAAAGAAAAATAAATTTCCCTATATTATATTAATACTAATTTCTAGTAATTTAATAA